ATAATGGTATTATCTAATTAATGAGGTATATGTTTATAAAGATTATCGGATAGTTACCAATCCCGAAAAGGATGGACAAAATAGCACTTAGCTAATTAATTCATATATAAAGACGTCTAATTATTAATTGTTAAAAAACGATTTGAAAAAAAAAAAGTGCTAGCTATTCCATCTTATTTTCCGAATTCTTTAAATTCAATTCTATTTTCCCTTTTCGTTAACTTCTTGTAATACTCTAACATAAATTTAAAAAAATAGGAAATAATAAACAGTGGTAGTAGTAGAAATCACGAAGGCTTTAGCAATCTTTAAGGCCTGACTCTAAATAGCACTGAGAGTTTTTCCTTGATGTCACCTGTTAGCCATTCCAAAATATTCTTTGGTCAACCAACTTTTAAGGCTTCTCATGAATGTATCGAAAGAAAAAATGATGAAAAGTATGATAGGCCTTAATTATAATTCTAAAAATAGCACTTATAATTTCTTTTTTCCTCTTTTCTACGGTCATTATAAATTACCAAATTGAAAATGAAATTTCTAAATTTTCTAAATCAAAAAAAATTTTTTTTTTTCTAAATAAATTTTAGAAATTTTCTGAAATTCCTAAATCACAGAGAAAAAACAAACAGGGAAAAAAACAGAGAAAAAAAAAGGGAGGGAAAACAGGGAAAAAAAGGGGGGAAGAAAAAAACAGAGAAAAAAAAGGGAGAGGGAAAAAAGAGAAAAAAAAACAGAGAAAAAGGAGGGGGAGAGAGGAGAAAAAAAACGTAAAATATAATTTCCATAAACAAATCCAGGAATCTTTTTTTTTTCTCTCCATCCATTCAATATGAAATCTCGAAAATTCTCTCTCAATTGTCACTCTCTCGGGAATTTCAAATGTAACATTTGGAATTCTTGAGGAAAAGAAAAAAAGAAAAAAAAACATAAAATATTGTAAATGAAAAAACAAAATTGTAATAAGTAAAAAAGAAAAATTAGAGAAGGAAGATATTTATCAAATTATGCAAAATACATTTTACACCTATCTATTCATTCTTTCTCACTTCCTTTTCCTCATTCCCTCTATTATATTATCCAAATGCATCCCCTCAATTTTCTCTCATCTTTACCCTTTCCTTTCCATTCTCTTTCTCATCTTTCATTCTTATTGTTTGAGAAAATTGTTCCCCTCATTCCCTCTTATCTTTTGAAGTTCAAAAAATATTTGCTTATTTTGAATGATCTATCAATATTTCCTCTTCTCATCTTATCTCATTCTTTTCCTCATTCATTTCTCTTTCTCTTTTTTTTTCTTCTTCTTTCCTTCTCTTCTTTCTCACTTTTTAATAATGGATATATTTTGAAAAATGACCAACTCTAGCTGTCTGCTTAACTATAATTAATGAACCACAACAAAAAAAAAATTCTTAGCTATCCAATTATTTCAAAATTTACACTACCGAATCTTTTTTTTTTTCGTAAAATGAGTTCAATGAATACTAAACAGCCCGTACACACACAGACAGAGAAACAGACAGACAGACGGACAGACACACACACACACACACACATATCTGATATTTGGATTAGCAAAAGTGGGTGCTGTAGTGTTTTGGTGATGGCGTTTATGGTGTAGTAGTAGTAGTAGTAATTTTAAGATGAGATGATCTTTTGCTATGTCAAAGGATGATGGAATGGTAGTAAAAAGTTAAGGGAAGGAAGGAGGGACCTGTTGTCCTTACTATTGTCTCCCTTATTTTCTTCTTCTCGAACTTTCCTTTTACCTTCACTTTTTTTTTTTTTACCCATTGCATTTCAACCTATCTTTAGTGTCTCTCATAGTTAACCTCTTGCCTTTTTCACATTTATTACTCTTTTAGATAAGGCAAAAAAAAAAAAAAAGTGGCCAACAAAAATATCTCCAAGGATTTTTCTTTTTTTCCGCCATTTCATTCCATTCTTATTGCTGCATCAATCACATCTCTCTTCCTCTTCCATTTCAAACATTCTCCCTCCTTCCCTTTCATTTCAAACAAACACACACATACACACACACATACACACACATACACACACACATACACACACATACACATACATGCACACACATACACATATATACACACACATACACAGATCATCTTTAGTCAATCATAACAAAGAGGTTAACAAGTAATTAATGCTCTGAGGTCATCTTCAGCGTTGACCTCAAACAATTTCAAATAGCATTTGTTAATTGTTTACTTATAATTGATGCTTTGAGGTCATCTTCAGCGTTGACCTCAAACAATTTCAAATAGCATTTGTTAATTGTTTACTTATGCATATATTTATTCATTTATTTATCTTAAAGATATCATTTATTTATAATTGTGTTAGATGATCGGTGTAGTTAGAATAAACAAACTGACCACTCTTCATCATCACTCAAAATGGTTAATATTATTTATATCATGATTATTGATATTATCGTTGAGTAATTGAAGTTAAATTTAATTTTTGAAATGAATTTTAGTGATAGGCATATTTGCGCCACTACATTATGATAAGCGTGATAGGCATATTTGCGCCACTACATTATGATAAGCGTGATAGGGATATTTGCGCCACTACATTATGATAAGCGTGATAGGCATATTTGCGCCACTACATTATGATAAGCGTAATAGGCATATTTGCG